AACATATTCCTCTTCAAAGACAATGTCTCTAACATCATCTCCCCCCGCAAACTCAACATCCTCAAAGAACCGAGCATTTCCAGACTCAAAAATAGACTTATTTGTGGGATCATAAAACTTATACCCTCTTGATCGTTCAGAATATCCAACAAAATAACAACTAATAGTCCTTGCATCCAGTTTCTTTTCATTAGGCCTATATGGCCTAGCCTCAGCTGGACACCCCCAAACGTGCAAATGCTTTAGACTGGGCTTTTTGCCTGTCCAAAGTTCATAAGGGGTCTTATTAGTTGCTTTAGTTGGAACTCTATTAAGGATATACGCTGCACTCTTTAGTGATTCACCCCAGAGATATTGTGGCAAGGTAGAGTGACTAATCATACTCCTTACCATATCCTTAAGCGTTCTGTTTCGTCTTTCAGCAACACCATTCATAGTGGGCGAACCCGGCATAGTGTACTGTGGGACGATACCGCATTCCTCTAGGAATTTAGCAAACGGTCCTGGACGTTGTTCACCTGAACCATCACATCTACCGTAGTATTCACCACCACGATCAGATCTAACAGTTTTAATCCTTTTGTTGAGTTGATTCTCAACTTCAGCCTTATAGGATTTGAACACGTCCAATGACTGTGATTTTTCATGAATGAGATATATGAAGCCATATCTTGAATAATCGTCTATGAACGTTATAAAATATTGTTGACCATTCCAAGCAACTGTAGGAAACGACCCACAAATGTCCGTATGTATAAGTTCTAAGACGTCTGAAGTCATATTGGCTTCAAATCTCCTTTTATTGGTTTGCTTTCCCTTAATACAGTTGACACAAATGTCAAAATCTGTAAAGTCTAAGGGGTCGACAATATCGTCGGACACAAGTCTCTCTATTCTCCGTTTGGAGATATGACCTAATCTCTTGTGCCACAACGTAGCTGAATTCTCATCGGTTAATTTTCTTTTCACACCACGTGTATTTATATGCAGAGATTCATTGAATGAAGCAATAGTATCTAGTAAATAAAGATTATCATAACCTGATAAAGAACCAGAACCAACCAATTTTGAATCATGAAACAAACTGAATTTTCCACTTCCAAATGAACAAGAATAACCAAATTTGTCCAAAACAGAAATAGAAATCAAATTTCGTCTAAAAGATGGAACAACAAATGTCTCATCAAGATCCAAATAATATCCAGTCTTTAACAATAATCTAAATTTTCCAATTGCTTCAACTTCAACTGTCTTGTCGTCACCCACATAGATGTATCTTTCACCATCACTTGGTTTTCGGCAATGGAGGCAACCCTGCATGGACACACTGATGTGAGTTGTGGCACCAGAATCTATCCACCACGTGTGTCCAGGAACCAAAGTTAAATTAACCTCAAAACAAACCAAATTAAACACATACCTTTCTTAGCACGCCAAGCGTGGTAGTTGGCACACTGCTTCTTTGTATGTCCTTCAGCCTTACAAAAGAAACAACCCGAAGTGGTGTCAGAATTGACATCATTAGACACACTAGGTGTCGGTTGTTGTTTCTTTTGTGGGACTGTATGTGCATCTTCCTTAACCTTATTCCTCTTTATTCCCTTGCCCTTATTTTTGGAAGTATAGGCAATATTAGAGCTTTCTGTCTTATCTTGCTTCAACCTTTCCTCTTCTTGGACACAGTATGAGATGAGCTCATTCAGAGACCAAGTCTCCTTCTGACAGTTATAGCTCACCTTAAACTGGTTAAAATGTCCCGGAAGAGATAACAAAACCAAATGCACTAGCAATCCCTCAGAGAGTTCAAGCTTAAGTGCTCTTAATTTTGAAGCAGTATGAGACATCTCCATAATGTATTCTCTAATATTACCTTTACCACCATACCTCATTGAGATAAGATTTGCCAAAAGCGTACCAATTTCAGCCTTTTCGTTCTTGACAAACCTTTTCTCAATATCTGCAAGGAATTCCTTAGCAGTAACGATATTTTCAGACATAGTGCCCCTGAATGCTTCCGGAATGGCTTTATTTATGATCATCATACACATGCGATTCGATTTCTCCCACCTTTCAAAGTCCCTCTTTTCATCTGAAGTACTGTTATCCGTAAGAGGAGGTGGAGAATCAGTCCTTATCGCAAGGTCGAGATCCATGACACCGAGAACTATTAAAAGATTCTCTTGCCATGCCTTAAAGTTTGAGCCATTTAGCATAGGAATGGAGTTGATGCTGGCAGTGATATTAGCAGAAGTAGACATAGCTGAATCCAAAGAAAAAATAAACTTATCATGCTCACGAAAAATACTTAGAATTAAAATTATAAATTCAAATAAAGGTAATCCTATCTCAAGACATCGCAACTCCATTAATATTTTATCTTTGGACAAAATATTAATTTGTAATTGATGCAGTAATCAAACATTGACAATAAGAACATATCAAACAATAAATCTTCATTTGGGCCGACTTATTGTTCACATGTAAAACCAAATAATCATCACATGTTTATTACCGCAATAGCACATGTAATTTTAATGAGCACTCCCCTTCCTTTGGGCCGGTTAATACTCACTCAAATTACATGTACCCATATCCTTTTATATTTCAAAATAAATTAATTTCCACAAAAGAGGTCGCTTTGGCGACATGTTGCTTCAATTAATTTATCTCAAAATATATAAAACTTTATACCAATATTCGAATCCAAAATTTAAAATATTAAGACCGAAAATAGACTTAAAGGTTTAACCTTTATCACACCGAAAACTAAATCCAGTTACACATAACTGCCAATCAAATAATCCGAGAGCAGGGTCTGACTTCTATACTCAGATTAATTAAATGGATTGTCCTAATTATTTATCAATTTCGAATAACACACGCAAATAATTGAAACTAAATCAAACTTGATCTGAATCCATAATCCACTCAAGTCCATGCTTCAATAAAAAAAAAATAATCATCCATTGATTTCAAATATATAATTCACACAAATGAATGTAACCGAATCCATATACGAACTGAAGGTTCCCGAATCTTAACAGCAATCAATCTCGCAAAAAATATATATTTCACGCATGATTTGTTATATCAATTTGAATCAACCAACCCTCATATCTAAAAAATATTCAACAGAATATACATATATACTCCATAGTCACGAATCCGAAACATACATATCCGAACTGAAATCAATCACGCATAGTTCAATCCATACAAATCAAAATAAATTGATTCCCCAAAATTCAATATGAAGAGGCTCTGATACCATTTGTTGGAACTAACTTTAGGCGAAATACATCGCTATAATCCAGGAGCTTTCATATCGAATAATTGAGAATCAAAACTGAATAGCGGAAGCGTACCTGAATCCATAGGTGATTGATTTGGGGATTTGGCCTTCTAGGTCTATACGATCGTGTACCTTTTCAGAGAACCCTTTAGCTTTTCTTCGTAACCTCTCTGTCGATGGGATGCAGAAGAGATAATCTGTCGATGTCGTATGACCTAGGGACCACAACCCTTGTGTACATTAAGTTACATTGGCCATCTCTATTTTAGCCCATCATTAAAATAGAAGACCCATTGGTTTCTACACATTAAAGGCTCACACCATATTGATACTTTAAAGCCCAATAACTTTAAAACTTAATTGATCACTTTTATTTGGGCTTCTTTATTTGATAACCACAATACAATAATTATTTCACATATTAACCCAATGTTGGATTAAGGATCCAACATTATGTAGATAAAGTAATGTCTCGTATATAGAATAATAATATTTGATTGTGTAATCCCGAATTTAAATTAAAAACCATATTTGGAGAAATAATATTTAGTTGTGTTATCCCGTATTTAAATTAAAAATCATATTTGAAGGATTTTGTAAGATGATCGTGAAGAAATTATCACTGCTAACATTTAAAAAAAAAAAAAAAAAAAAATTATCTAACAAGTTATGAAAAAAAAAAATGGTATGGCATTCCATAATTCTACAGTTAACATATTGGGAGATTTTATCTCTTTAAATTAGTTTATACAACACTTGAAATAAAATTTAAGAGATTTAATTCACAGTTTCATATGGAATCAAAAGTTTGAAATGCAAATTATGAAATAAGCTATCTTCCTTTTATGCTGTGAAACACAAGGGAAAATATAAGTGAAAAAGTTGTGGAAAAGAAAGAAGTCCCTCAAGACATGGGGCAAAGAATATTAACAATGAAGGAGATGCAAGCCAAACAATATCATTTCCTAGACTCATATTTATGGAAATTTGGACGATTTGATTCGAGAACAACTTATGACAAGTAGAAAATCCAAAATACTGCAAGTATCATCATTTGGTGAGTCACTCCATCTAAGATTGCTTCGTCTTGAAGATAAATTTATGCAGCTGGCATGACAAGGCAAGATATCACTTGAAGAAGACAAATGGACTGCGAATTTTGCTTCGGTTGCTAGCTGCATGGAAGGATATAAAAGTTTCACTTGTAATGTAACAAGCGAGCAAAACGATGTCTCAAGTGATGAAAAAACGATGTGACCAAAAGACTACGATGCGGCAGGTCTCCTTCACATATGAAGACTTGTTGGGCACAAAATCTCATAATAAGCCTTTAGTCGTAACTGGTTATGCTCGTGAGAGAAGGGTGAATCACATATTTAAAAATTTAAAAGTATGTTGGCAACAAAGAAGCTCCATCAAACAACAAAATAGTACTGGAGAGATGAAAGCTCCATCAAACAACGAAGAATTGCAACGAAAATTCGTTAACCTCAAATCAGTACTACTTTCTCCATCCGGTACAAAACTTTAGCTAGGGACACAAAATTTACATCTTTGCAGCACTTTTTTTTCACCACCCTTGACGATGAACTGGAACCAAAAATTGCAACGAATTTCCGAAAAATCAGCAGACAAGATATCTAGCAATGGCCCAAGGGTAGCCACCACACACAGAAAAAATCTCAAAGATCCCAACTTTCTAGTGCATTCAAACCTTCATATGATTCGGCAACATAGACGAAGAAGATGGCGACCCAAATTTCGACACATTTCTATCAGGTTCAGAGCCAAACAGGGTGTTACTCCAGTTATTCGACTTGTGCGTCATTCTCGTAGGGACTCGGTCACTGTCCTCACCGCCAGACGCATCATATCCATCGCTAGTCGATCTCGAAAAAGGAATATCCACCTGATTAGTCACACCTCTGCTAGCAGGAAGCCCAGCAGGCCTCATCCCCTCTTCCGGGCCCAAAGAGGAAGCCCGAAACGGTTGAATATCTGGAGAATCCAAGCTACTCTCTGGTGAAGAAGCAATGATGCCCCCAGCCAGGCCCGGGATACCGGCCCGATAATCACTTGGAGCTTCCAGGTGTAATGGGCCCAGGCTGGACGATGACTCAGTTACCAGACGATGATCTCGAGGGTTGAGGGGCACGTCTGCTGGGAGGCGGATTCGCCTGCTCCCTCGTTTACGGCTGCTCTCGGGCCTTGGGCCTGTCCTACGGCTGCTGCTGCCGAAGCTGCTGTCTGTTTCGTGGGCAAAGGTTGAACCGGGCCTTGTTATGGGACGGAGGATCGTCGACTTCTTTCGGGCCTCGGCAGCGGCCTTCGAAACGTCTTCCGCATTTAAGCGCGCTAATGCCCATGGGCTAATCTTTACAGGCCCGGGATTCTTCTTCTTGGCTTGGTCGTCTGGTATTGTCTTTTTCCCGAGTGAACTAACGGACTTGTTGTCTGGAGGTACCACGTCAAACTGTAATGGAAACAAGACTATAAGTTAATCTGCGGCGCGGGATTTGGGATAGAAGCTACAAATTTAAGAATCTTGAAAAAACTTGATCCACTTGGTTTGTGATTGCTAGGACCAAATTACCAAATTCTATTTCATGAAACAGATGAATAGAAAGAGTATGAAAACTACGTCTAATAAAGTTTGAATAGAAATTTACCTGATCTTCAACGAAGAGTCGTGGTGGTGTGCACCATGCTGCTCGATGGAAAGTGTTGAAGGAGCTTGCACTGCTTAATCCTGTAATAGAGCTAACAGTAGACATCTGGGGGCTTTGCTCGCCTCCGCCACCTAGTTGCTCTTGCTCCCTCAGAGCTATTATGTAATCATACGTGCTTATCCCCTATTATTACCATACCGTTCAGATTGAGAGAGTTGAAAACACACCAGAGAAATATAAATCTAATTACAAAAATGAAAGAGAACCATTGATCTTCGAAGGTTCCGAATATCAACTTGACGTTTGCTTCTAGTTTTATGAATTTGCATAATCTGAGGATGCATTTGTGAGGGCTTATGTAATTGTCGAAGATATTTTTTTTTTTTCATTTTTAATTTAGATTGGATCAGTGTGTATTTGGTTCGTAAATTTCTTATTTCAAGTAACAAGCAAGATAAACAAGAAAAGAATTAATAAACAAGGCCAACCTTCTTAATCAGAAGAATGTGAAAGAAGAAAAGCTGAGCAAGCGGCAGGGTTGCAACTATGGCCAATATGGTGCATACAGCCTGCGAAAAAGGTAAAAGGCTTACAGAGTATTATTGTTCTGTAATACTGCATTATTTTTTTTAAATTAAATATCTTACACACACTACAAAATTCTGTCGGTTGGCAATCAGAAAATCTATACGAACATGCCAATATAAAAATTAAGGGAGCACGAAAAAACACTCACCACTACAATTACAAAAGGAATCACTGAGAAACTGCTTCCCAACTTCGAGCTAATGTCAGTTGAAAATTTCTTCTTCTCAAGAAAACACCGGATAAGTACAAGGATTCCGGTCGACCACTGAAGTATAAGCTGCAACCTCAGGTCCATGGTACATAAAACATGTAAATACTCATCAATATCGATCTAAAAACAAAACTAACCTCAAATAATAATATAGAATAATATTAGAAGACATTAAAATTTGAGGTGATTTTAGGTTGAGGATCTAACTTAGCCCATATAAAGCACATTTTCACCGAAAAAACCATTCTTTTCATTTACCACTCAAAATTTGGCAAAGTAAGCTTGCGCAAGGTGGAGAAGGCAAGATAGATTAGATGTTGTAGTTCTCTCTGATGTATACTCACTTATTTAATAGCATCTTACTGAAAACACTGTGTTTTATGAAGTAAATAGAAAACTGATGTTTGAGTATACCAGGAGAAGAGCCGACACCATGAGAGTAAAAAACTTCCGATAGTTCCTTCTGCCGATGCAGTTGTTTAGCCACTAAAAGATAAGGATATAGATTGTAAGGGCCTTCTTATAATAATACCAGTGAAACATTTACCCAAACTATAAAATTAAATTTACCCTGCAATGATGATCAAATCGGTCGACACACTTGTCACAGACTCTGCAATGCTTACTGTACTTGTAAACCTGTTAGTTGGTGACCATTTTAGTGGAATGGTGCAAGGTTTAGCATGAGTGCATAATGACACAGAACACAACAAAAATCTTAGAAGAAAACGCTTTGTTGAGCTGATATGCTATTTACAGAAATCTTATAAAATGTTTAGGAGCTTACAAGCTCTTTAAATACGATAGGTAAACTTCATAGAAGACCTTTTGAGCTCCAGAAACAACTTATTAGGTCAATAGAAGTCATAAAATAAAAATATGGAAAAACTTAATTCATTGAGGGACTTCGACTTCTCTCCTAGATAAGAATATAAGATCTTACTTAAACAACCATCATTTAGTTTTAATTGTTTAAATAACAAAATATCCTCTTTATTTATCCTACCAATCCAAGAATTTTTTTTCAAAATAAAACCACAAAGGGGCTAACAAGATTTTTAGCCGAATACCTTCTAAATCTTACAATCACCATACCCAACATAGAGAAATCAAATCACAAAAGTATCACCAATTCACCAGTGCAATTCAAGACATTATGCAGTACCAGTCAATTATATGGATAAGGAACAAATGTACTGCACGAACCTCTACTTCACACAAACTACAGTAGAACATCCCATCTTCACTCTGTTCACAAGAAGATTCCTCGTGCGAGCTGCAAACGTAAGCACATGGCAATAAAGCCAAAATTCCCAGGAAGCATGTGCCCTTACGTTCAGTTTCTTTATCACGACGAGCTCCCTTCTCCATATCCAATTTTCCATTATTGTTAGCTTCCACACTAACGGTTGTAGCCTTGGCATCACAAACAGGCTCTCCACCATTGTTTGGCTCGGTTGGTTCGGTGGGTTTCTTGTTATCAGGAATATTAAGATATTTTTTCGATCTAAACACTCCAGGATCAGCAGGGTCAGCACCAGCACACCAAAGGTAGAGGCCAAATGCACAAATTAGCTGGGAGAAGTTGACAAGTTAGAAGAATAAGACTAGGTATAGTAAGCAAGCAATTTTCTACTTCAGGTTCATTTGTTTACTTCTCAGTAACAAGGCTGCTAGACATATATATATAGTTTATAGTACAAGCACTTACAATGCCGTCGGAAGAGAAACTCACTTGAATGCTATTCTCAACGAATTATATGAGAAATATTTTCTGATATAAAGTAATCTAAGGAATCTAATTTTTAGGAAATTATGTACAAAACAATCCGAAAAGTCGAAAACAACAAGCGCTAAGATACAGATCTCAATTTCTTCAAAAACACACTAAAAAAAAAGGCAATTACCAAGGATAATCTTAAGATAATGGTGCAATTGTGCTTACAAGTGGAGTGTATATCCCCATCACTATATACTGAAACAATTGCTTTCCCACAAAAGGCGCAAAGAAAACATAGAAAGCAAAACCCAATGCCAGAAATACAGCTACAGCCACAACCTGCAAGAGTACATCTCTGCTCATTTTGAATACATATTAACCATAAATACACACACACACACACATATATATATATATATATGCATATATAAATAGTATATGAAAAACTAACTTTCACAAACATTGACAAAGATACCTGGAGTGGATGATAAGGAAGCTGCCATCCATGCTTTCTCATTGTGTTGATTGGGTTATGGCAAAGCAGGAAACTATTTTGAAAGATACAAAAATAGGCCAAAAAATGAATAAATAAATAAATAAAATTCAATCCCCGACTTTACTAAACTCAGCTTCCCGCATTTTTCAGATCAATGCTTCACAGTACCAACACAACCAAATGAACCTTCTGCACGCTCATTCTCAAGAACGCAATAATAAGCTTTTCCTTTGTTCACTCCAATGATAACCCACACCACCAAAGGCTACTACACACATCATAACCAAAAGGGACGGAAAAAAAGAAAGAAAAGGGACCAGAAAAATATAAAGAAAAAAGTGAAAAAAAAAAAAAAAAAAACCCGGAGAAATCAGAAAAGCCTCCGCCTTTTGGGTTCAAATGGGCATTTTCACAAATGGGTTATCGGCAATTCTTTAATTATTTTGTTTCTTGATTAAGCAAAGATCTGTGCAGGCAAGGGGAGAGAGAGAGAGAAACAGTGTGTGGGTAAGGAGAGAGAAAAGCTTTTGCTTTGTGAACCTATAATTACCAGGGGTCCCTTGGGTTGGCCCGTACCCTCCTGACTTTCACTTTTTTTTCACCTTCGTCTCTTTGCGTTGCCTCTTTTCATGGGCAAATTCAACATTGTTGTTTTGTGGCTACAAGGCAACAGCAGCCAGTTGTATAAAGTCCAGAGTTCAGTACTACTCCATAACGTTTCTGTTTCTCCATTTTCTATTTACTCTCGTCTCGTGGCAGTAATTTTTCTGTCCACCAACTTCATTTATTACGTTTTTTTTAACCTCTCTCATCTCATGGTGTAATAATGTCTTGGATCTTACATGCATTTAAGTTGCTTCCTAATCCTATGTATCTTTAATTTGGTGCAGTTCAAGACTATTTCCAACCGAAAAACTCGTTCTCAGACTCATTTTATAGTAGCTGCCACGTCAGACAGTAATTAATCTCCAACTAAAAAACTTGTTCTTAAACCCGTAATAATATTTCATAAATTTTGTTTTATATCAACTTTTACAACTTTTCAATACTACATAAATATACTACAATTTTACAAATTAAGCACACTATTATTTTAAATTTAATTTGGAATTCATGTAGTACAATTAGTTATTTTTTTTTTCCGAAACGACAGATGCAACTATATTAAACTCAAAAAGGCGAACAAAATTCGAATTACAACACAACAATCCGAAAACTAAAAATGAGAAACACGCCATGAGCGGTCTAGAGCCTCGACACAAAGGAATAGCTAACAACAAGGCCAAACCAACAACAACAAGCAACACCAACACAAAAGCACTTGCCACTGCTCAAAGAGCCTAGCAAGGGAAAACTAAAAAAGAAGACAACAAAAACAAAATAACAGAAAAATAAGAGAACTAAATTGACAATTATAATTCATATACATAATAAAATCGAGTAAATAGCCTACACTATATAGGTTATGATGTATTTTATATTAAAAAAATTGGTATTATATTTGTAATTTTCCAGCACTAGTTTCATGATTTATAGATATTTTCATATTAATATTTCATATAATTATACTAGTGTGTATCCCGTGCGATGCACGGGTAAAAAATGACTTTCATAACATGTAAAATTGTATTATGACACGTGCATAATAAATCTACATCTTAAGTTCGGAATAACATCCTTCATTTTAGGGATCATATGTATTTAATATGTCCATATCTACATATCGGGAATTTAAATTTTGAATTTGATGATAACCCGAATCTATGATAGCAAAATATCGTTTACTAATCAAATCAATCGCAACTTTAGGATTTGGTATTTTGAAATTTAGAAAAAAAAATAAAATCATTAATTTAGGGAAGATATGTGATAAATCTATCTAAATCTTGTATACATCACGTTTTACAACTAAAGCAATTTAAACATGGAGATTAAGATATTTTTAATCTCTAATTTAAACAAAGACTGTAAAAATTTGATTTGGTATTTTGAAATTGAAAAAAATGAAATAAAATCATTAATTTTGGGGATGATATATGATAAATCTATCTAACTATTGTATACATCACGCTTAACAATTAAAGCAATTTAAAAATAAAAATTATTCTTATTTTGAATCTCTGATTTAAACAATGACCAAAAAAATTTTGATCGTTCCAAAATTATAGTCGTGTGTTATTTTTCATTATATATTATTGTCAAACAAAACTATTGAATCAGCTGAAGATTTATTTTTTTAATTGAGACTGCTCGATTTGATGGTTAGAAAAAAATGTTATTCAAAAGAAATAAACTAATGATTTTTTTAAATATTTTTACCCTTAAATCAACTGTAATTTATTTTGTTAAATGAAATCTGCTAATCAAAACATATGTATTAGGCTATTAGCCAATTATATAGAAAAAAAAAGTTTTCGATATTTTATAAATACAAAAGTATATTTTATGGTTAGAAAAAATAGCACGTCACTTTTTTATTATTAAATCAATTGTAACTTTTTTATTATAAGAAAAGATGACAAACAAAGCAATTTTATTAGACGAATATCTGGTTTTAAATTTGGAGAATATAATTGGCCGATGTTTAATTGAATTAGCAGTCGTGACGTACATTTATATTTAAGTTTAAAAATAGTATTTTGTAACTAGTAACCAAATTTAATTGATGCAGCCCAAGCATTATCAGCTTGATATGCACATCGTGTCAAATTATCACAAGTATTCAATAGACTAAATTTAAATAGCAACTCAACTTTTTTGAAAATAAAAAAATAACAAACTCCTCATTTTAATGACAATTTTTTTTTAAAAAAAAATATTAAAAAGATACTATAAATGACATGTAATTAATGCTGACCAGTTTTGACCAATGATTGACTTACTATTCTAGATAAATGGTAATTCTTTATATATATTAATACAAGTCTCGCACCCCGACCGGCTGGAAATCGCCCTAAGCTCGTTCTCCTCGCCGGTTGACCGCGGAACCTGCACGAAACTCCCACACCGGAGGTGTTTTCCGGTGAAGAGCCTCCAACGCTCAAGTCAGATCTTGAGAGAGAAAGTATATCAGTAAATATATGAGAGTATCAGAGATTGTATCGAAAATGAGGATTCTCGCCCCTATTTATAAGGGCGAGTTACCTGTTCTACACGCGCGAGTAGGGCGAGTTCGGCCAACTGTCCTCTGCTCGTCCGTACAACCGCGCGCCTCCACTATCCTTGGTGTCAGGAACGCGTCCCATTTGTCAGAGAATGTCAGAGTTTGTTATAGCTATTGACCACTCGTAGTCCGCCGCGTGTCCTCCCCTTCAGATGCTGGGGGTTTCCTTGTTCGCTCCAATATTCGACCATTTCCATACGACCACGCACTATCCGACCACCCTCTTTCGACCAATTCCTCGAGTAACTCGCCCCTGTCGACCACTTATGATCTCGTTAGTCTCTGCTATCTACTCTCTGTCCTCCGTTGCAGGTGTCTGGTTCTGCTCGACCACATCATTCGGTCCGTTCTTATTTAGGTAATCCGGCGAACCGACCTATTTTCTCCGGTTAGCCCCGCGAACCGGTCTAGTATATAATATCCCCTATCATCTAGTCCCCCCACTCTGGTCGAGTCTGAACGACTCGATCTAAGAGTAGGCTTCGGTCCATGTCGAGGAGGTTCTGCTTCTTTGTTTTCGACCAACTGACGCATTTCTTTTTCTGTATGTTTATTTCCTCTCCTGATCGCCACTTTGCATTTTTTGAATTTCAAATTTCGTCACTTGCCCGCCCTTTTGGGATGCGTCTTTTCAGCTGCTCAGAAATAATGATAACCTCGTGGCCCACGCTGCCTCGAGCCTCACACCCCTTTATGCGCCTCTTTTCTTCCTACCGTTGGATTTTTTACTTTAATCCTACGGTTTGAGGTAAGTGTCTGTTCGCCTGCCCTCTGATCGTAGCCCTTCATTACTTGCGATCCTACGGTCGGCAATTCCTCCCCCTCACTCTTTGCCCCTATAAATACCCATACTTGGGAGAATTTTTCCCTTTTCTCCACCGTCGTATTCCATCGCACTAGAGCTTTCTGCAATCGTCGAGCATCCAGCAATCTTGAGTCCTCTATCTTCTCAGCAGATTCTCCGCCGCCCACCATGAGTAAGTCTTCTTTGACTTTCAATTTGTGTTTGTTAACTTTTAATTTTTGGGTTCTTCCTCTTTTCCTCGAACCTCTTCTCGATTCTGGCTCCGTCCATTGTTCGTCCTTCCTGCTGTGCTCTCCTTCACTTTTTTCCGCCTTCTTCTCTGCTTTTGCTCCTTCATTCGATTAATTATAGTTTTTCTTTCTTTTATCTCAGATTCTGCTACTTCGAGTGAGAATGACCGACACAGCAGGAAGGACCTAACTCCCCCTTCTTCTTCTGTGACCCTCAGCCTACCGAGCGATTCTGTACAAGAGATTCTTCAACCTGAGCCCATTTTCGTTCTTCCCCCTGTGACAACCAGCAATAGCCCTACAGCCACTGTCGTTTCTCCCTCCACCTATCTTGTCGACCAGCCTGAAGATGAGGTCACCAGTCGCCCTCCTTCTCCACCCGCCGAGCGTGCTCGTCGAGCTATCGGTCAGGATGACGAGATTGAAGACGAGGATGATCCTCAAGACCATGTCCCGCTGTCTGCTCGCGTTCCCGTTTCTTCGACCATGCCCTCTCACTCCCCTCGACCTAAGCCATCCAAACGGTCCAAACCCTCTAAACCATCTTCGAGCGCTCCCCGTCTCGACTTTGATGCGATTGGTCATCCTGGGAATGCTCTCACTCCTGGTGACGATGATACCTTCGATAATCCTCCTGAGGGCTATTATACCTTCTTCCGCGCCCATTTCGACCTAGGCCTCCGTTTCCCTATCTGCCCAGCCTTGCTCGACCTGTGCGGCCTATATGGCCTGCCTCTCAACCAAATCACCCCCAGCGCTTTTAGGACATTAGCGTTCTTTATTATCTTGTCCATAGTTCGTATGGGTAGAGTAGATTTAGACT